GAGAAAGATGTGTTGACCAAAGTCAAAGACTAAATACACTGTGCCTTGACGGGATTGTGGTATAATGGTCTCTCCTCCCTCTGCACCTGCTCTGTGGCCCCTGTGGTTCTGCCTCTTTGCTTCCCAGGCTCCCATTCAGAATGAGCTTTCCTGCATCACAGTTACAAATTTCCACAGTGCCATCTGGAGATATGAATGGGTTTTAAGGGCTGGGACATACGTGCACCTGAATCCAAGAAGCGATTATTTGCCAGTCAGAACGGAAGACAGAGCAGGTGGGTGGGAGGGTGGAGATTCAAATCTACTCAGAGATTCTCCCTTCCAGGTGGCCATTCTAGTTTCTAGAGACAATGTTCTTCATTTGCATTTGTCAACTATCATTTGTATTTGTGGGCAATCTGTGAGTGATGCACCACAGCTGGTCTTCAACCAACCAGGAGTTTGTGGGGAGAGTTTGATTCCATTTCAGTTAATACAGTCTTATGGCTGAGGCCTAGCTGAGGCTCAGAGACTCAAGTGTCAGGAGAAAATCTCAGTTTCAACGCCATCTCTCTGGATGGCTTCTGTGAGGTCCCGTCTGAAGAAGGGAAGGGGGAGTGATGAGATGACTCCCCTGCAGGTGTGGAGGGCCTTGGGGTCAGCCTGGAGGGAGTCCACAAGACAGGCTCCTCTGAGTGAGGGCTCTGAGCTGGGGAAGGCATTTGACTTCTAGGAGAATGACTAACGACAGCGTTAACGGAACTGCTGCTGCCTCCTAACTGCGCTTCCCGCTCCCTGCTCCATCTGTTTCTCAACTCCGACTCTGCCAGCAATCTATTCTTGCTTCCACTTTCCAGTAAGTTCCTAAAGGCACCAATGGTATACAAGCCCCGCTCCTAGGAGGAGGGGGCCACTCAGCCAGGCGTCAGCACGCTGGAGCCAACACCCGTGATTAACATGCTGGCCCTGAAACGCGAGAAGCTGGGAAAGAGAGGCTGTGGGGTGTTTCAGTGACTCATGGTTTCTACCAGCATCCTGTTCAAACCTGAGCTCCTCAAAGAAGCTTTCCCTGATCTGATCAAGATTATCCCAGCACAGATCACCTGTCCATTTATAACCCTACCCCATCCCCCACACGCCTGCCCGCGACCGCGTGTGGTCAAGTCCATGCTGTGGATCGCCCACATCATGTTCAGTCCCACTCTGGCCAGCCGCAGAGTGCAGTCTATGCCACCAGGCTGGGAGCACTGAACGAGGGCTGGCCCACTTTATGATTATTTTAAACAACATTTAATTAGGAATGAATACATATCACAGTATGTATCCAAAGCTTTTGAGAATTCATGGTTCTACGCCTGGGATGTCCTTATCCTCTTTCTGTCAGCTCATTTTTTCAACAAACATTTATTGGGCTCTTATGATGGGCCACGGGTTATAGAATTGAACAAGACATGGCTCTTCCTCTCAAGGGAATCACAGTCTAATGGGAAATCCAGATATATAACGTTAAACTTATTATTATTTTATGCAATATTAAAGTGGCATATGTTGTATCAGAAAGCATCTCTGATCAGAGAGATCACTCAGGCAACGAGGTGGACGGAAGAGTTGAGGAGGACACAGCTACGAGCAGGGAAATCATTTTGGAGATGCTGCCAAAGTCCAAGCAAGAGATGGTGGGGCCTTGAGCTAGGGAAGTGGTAGCAGAGAGAGAGAGAGAGAGAAGGTAAGAAACTGAAAAGTATTTGGGAGGTAAAATCAGCAGGACAGTGCACGGAGGAGAGATAAGAGGCCAAATGCAGGGAAACGGGAGAATATGCCTCAGAGCAGGCAAAGGCGATTGAGAAGATTGGTGGAGAGCAGAGAGCAATGGCTTCATAAAAAGCCAAGAAGGGGGAGTTCCCTGGTGGTTCAGTGGTTAGGATTCGGCGCTTTCACTGCCGTGGCCTGGATTCAATCCCTGGTGGGGGAACTGAGATCCCACAAGCCTCGCAGCGTGGACAAAAAAAAAACAAAACAAATGCCAAGAAGGGGTTGTGGTTGACAGTGTCAGGTGTTACCAGAGGTCACTTAAGATTGGGACTGGAAATTTTCCGATAGGTTAGAAACAAAATGTTCGTTGGTAACCTCAGTGAGCTTGGTTTTAGTGGTACAAGACAAAATTTCATGGGATGACAAGTGAATATCGGGAGAATAATAGTGAATTCAGACGCAATCATTTTCTCTAGATACCATAGACAGACCACCTAGCACCTAAAAGATTTTCAAGTGTTCAAAATTATGTTTGAGATCTGAAAAAAATTATCAGCTTCAAAATGCAAAAAGAAAACTGCTAAATCAAATTAAGACGTGTGATTAACTATCTCCAAAATGTAACATTGTTTCGACTTCATTAATTTTTAAATTTAATATTCATAAAAACCTCATTACATTTAGAAACTTTTTTTTTTTTTTTTTTTTGCGGTACGCGGGCCTCTCACTGTTGTGGCCTCTCCCGTTGCAGAGCACAGGCTCCGGACGCTCAGGCCCCACGGCCATGGCTCGCGGGCCCAGACGCTCCCTGGCATGTGGGATCCTCCCAGACCGGGGCACGAACCCGTGTCCCCTGCATCGGCAGGCGGACTCTCAACCACTGTGCCACTAGTGAAGCCCTAGAAACAATTTTTTTTGGTTTGATTTTTCTCCTTTTGCAAACATTCTCTTGTATGAACAACGACTGCTAAGAAATCACAGCCAATTATACATTAACTGTTGCTTGCCACTCTGTCACATCAGAAGCAAAATTTTTAAAATGCATTTAACATAAGATGTGGGTGCATTTTCTCCTACTTGCTTTCATGTGGGACGGGTCTCCAAATGTAAGCCTTTTAAGGACTGTCTTAACATAGTTCTGATATAGACAGTTTCAAAAATCTTGCCTAGGGAAGGAAGGAAAGAGAGGGGTATTCACTAGACAGAGCTGGAGGGAGAATGATTTTGTATTTTTCGTTAAGAAGGGAAAGACATGAGTGTGTGTGTGCACTGACGGAAAGAGTCATAGGGAGGAAAAGGTTGGGGAGGGCTGGGATGGTGACTGAGGGCGACAGGGAAACACTACAGTCCAGATGGCAGAATTGGACTCGAGGAGGGGAGAACACCTCTGCAGAAACACGAGGGGAGGTTGAAGCCCTTCAAGAGGATCCTAGTCTTTTTCTACATCAGGCAGAGCTATCCCAAGGTGACAGGAAAGTCTTGTGGTACCTCACCAGTCACTTGGAGCTCTGTTTACCTGAACAGGTGGGCATCTTTGGTATCACAGTCATCACTTCCCCTTCACTGGGGAGCCCTTTCTCTACATGGGCTGGCTGGAGAAACTAGTTTGTCCATGATGCTCAGATGCACGTCCCAATACCCGGTTCTCACCACCCCTGAAGCTGTGGCTGGACACCCCAGCTATGTCCTTGGTGCGTTCCCCCTTAAGTGTCCCTTTTGTCCCCAGATGTTCCTATGGTTAAAAACCTTCTGCCCAAATGGTCCCAGGTTAGGGGGGCAGGTGATCAAATGAAGCCCAAGCACCTTCCTCTTGGAGGGTAGAAATCTACTCCAAACGCTGTGTGCCTTCCCTTGGAACTGAGTTTTTAAGTCATCTCCTCTTTCTGATTATTCACAATAGAGGATGTTTACTCACGCAGGTACCCAAGAGTTGGCTGTGTGGACCTGCAGACCAGAGTATACAATCCACTGGGTACATTCATGATGTAAGCCCTTGGAGCCATGGTAGCAGATTACTGGTGTAGGCAGGCAATGTGCCGAGCTGCGTTATTTTAAAAACAAAACAAAACAAACGATCAACAGACAGCCATTTGAGTCTTTGTGAGAGAAAACCCAAGGAATCGTAAAATGGCTAGGTAGAGCCATTTTTCTAGCTTTCCAAAGTGTAGGAAACAGTGTCAGATTTCTGCTTCTGATCCATGGCTCATCTCAGTGTTGTATGAAGCTGGCTTTCCCTGACACCGACATAGCTCTGTGTCCCATGAAGGCACTGCTGGTTGAACAAACACTCAAGTGTGCAGGCATTCCAACAGCACAGGACATAAGCTACCCTCTTGGCATTTTTCAGGATAAAAGATGCTTTTTGATTTATGATTGTGGCTCCTCTTGAATCAGGGTTTCATATGTTTCTGACACTCCCCTGATATTTGGGTTTCTCTAGTACCAAAAAAAGCATCCAATTACATAGCTAACTCAGTGTTGGACACAGCCATATAATTCCAGAAATATCTATTGAATATATATGAAATGCCAGGTATCGTGCTCGGCAATGAGGTTACAACCAGAAACTGCCTAACTTCAAGGAACCTAGCCATACACAACGCTTCCCAAAATACCAATTTGCAAACAAATTTTAGGCCTGGCTGGAAAAGAATCACTTGTGAAATGCATTTAAAAATACAGATTCCTGGGCCCCATCTCCAGAGATAGAGATTCAATATGTCTGGGGTGAGGGTTAGGAATCCGTACCTTTAATGAGCTTCCCAGGTGGTTCTGATGGCAGCCAGGTTCGGGAACCATCTGGGATAAAACGTTTTACTTTCCAAGTAAGTCTATTAGTAACACGTTGACACAATTACGTAAATGTAACTTTCCATCCATAGTTTGGTTACGACAGTTGCTTTATATCAAGCAAACACAATACTAGGAAGATTGATGAAATTTTTATGGAACTGCTAGAATTTACTGGTATTTTGCTATCATGTCTCTATATGCTAAATCAAAATTTTCCTTAGCCCTTTTCTAAAAATGACTGACCCTCCCACCCCAGAAAGCTTCTCACCAGTCTCCTTCACTTGCATCTAGAACCCTTTCCCCTCTTCTACTCCAGCTATGCTGCATTTTTGGTTCCAAAGAATAATTATATCTCAAGGAACATGTGTGTAAAATGTCTACAAGACTCAAGTTCTGGTCATTCAGCATTTTTGGTAGAATGATTATGTCTCCCAGCTCTTTTACGCTATTTTTTGTTTGTTCTCACTTTCTTACAGGACTGGGAATGGAGAATATTGGTGGAATCTTTGTGGTTCTTATTTGTGGCTTAATCGTGGCCATTTTTATGGCTATGTTGGAGTTTTTATGGACTCTCCGACACTCAGAAGCGACTGAGGTAAACCTTCTAAGGGGTATGACCTATAGTATTGGCAAGCAGGGCCAAGTTCACAGGCTCACACAGGGACAAAGGTCATTTCAGACAGAACTTGTGAAATCCCACAGGAGGGTGGGGCACCCATGGAACAGCAGCACAGCGGAAAGAATCCCAGTTCCGAGGGCAGGAGCTCAGGGTTCAGGCTTCATCACTTACTAATTATGCAGCCACAGAAAGGGCACATAACCTCTCTGGGCTTCAGATTCTTCTCTGAAACAGCCCAGTAAGTAAATCTGTGAAAAATGTTTTATGAACAACGAAGACTTACACAACTATTGTTTAAGATGTAGTGTTATAAGGGAAAACAGGCGAAAGTACCAGGTTACTAATGGAAACGATGGCTTTGGTTCTTCCATCTTAAGTATGTTTTTGCCTTGCAGGTAAAGCTGTTTAGAGATATCCCAATTCACGAGAGCTCCTAATGACATCTTCCTTCTCAGGGATTTTGAATAAGTTTAATTCCCAAACCTGTGGCTTAGAAACTGGGTTAATATAAACTTCACACAGATGGAAGAGTCTGAAAGAAGGAAGATGACTTTACCCCATTCCAGGGCACAAATCATTACACGCTACTTGCATTGTTTGGTTTTTGAAATATATTGGCCTCTATCTCAAATCTCCCAACTCCTGATCGTCCTAAAATCTCCTTCCCTAATTGACAGCTCCTACCAGCAGATAACAGTACAGAAGAGTACAGCACCCCTATAAACCTATGTGGTCCAGCCTCATGTAGGGCCTCCATTCAACACCGATGACCAGTCTTTTCCTTTTCTGTGCTCAGCCTCTTTCCCACTTCCCAGTAGGACTTCCAAGCCATCACCCACTCCTCACATCCCTTTGCTCCTCCATGATTAATTTTACCTCCTGCCTCACCCGGAACTCAGGAGTGACCAGCCACAAATTAAAACGCCCACCTAAAAATTTACCCACAACTGGAGCCACCCCCAGGGCTTCTGCAGATGTTCTGGTCATCCCTCCATCTCTGCCTTGTTCTCACCTTTCCTCAGCTCCTCTAGGATTATCCTTTTTCTCCCCTTTACTTTTGTTTTTTGCCTGCTCTCTCCCCCAAGTCCAAAACTATGCTCATGTTTATTCCATATTTTCAAATAATAGGCATGTTGCTGTAGCTCTTGCCCTACCCCTCCTCTTGCAAGCCCAGGTGATCCGACTGCCTCTCTCTCCATGTGCTCGCCTCCCATTCGGGCCTCACTCCACAGCAGCTGGCTTCTCCCCACCCCTTCCCTGAAAGGTCATGGCTGAGAGGTCTGACCCCTCCCAATGAACAAAACCAAAAGAGAACCCACTGGGCCTTATTGGACCTCAGTGTGGCCCTCGATGAAGTGGATCGCTCCTTCCAGAACTCTCTCCTCCCTTGCCTTGCCTGCTCCAAGTTCTCTTGGTTTCCCTCCTCCTTCCCTCTCCAGTGTTACTGGCTTTCTCCTTCTGTCCACCCCTTAAATGGCGGTGCTCTTACCTCTTCCTAAGACCTCGTTCAGGTGTTCCTGTCCCTGTGAAACCTTCCGCAGTTCTCCTGCCTTCTTCCCTGGACCAGAAAGTTGCTCGTTCCTCCTCCTTTCCACCACCCCTGTAACCAGCACATAGAGCACCTACAAACTGTGTGGCAATTATTTTCGTATCAGCCTGGCTACTAGACATTGCACTGCCTGAAAGTAAGGACTGAGTTCTTTGTGTCTGTATTTCCACTGCAAAGCACAGTGTTTGATACTTAGGTGACAGTCAATAGGTATCAATATATGTCTTTATGTTCTCGTCACATATAATAGATTAGGCAGGTGGTGGTGTTTTTGTTGTAATTATTATTAGAAGCACAGAGAAGTTAAGTGACTTGACTACAGTTTCTGCTATTCACTAACAACCTTGGGTCTACAATCCGGGTCTCAAGTCCTAACTCAGGCCGTGTTCCATTAGGGGATTCTACTTCTCTGTAGCTGCTTCAGGTAGAGGATCTGTGCACGCTGGGTTATTCTCCCAAGAGCTCGCCAGTGGTCTAGATGTACCTTGAAAAATTCAGTGAGGAGTTCAAGCTCTCCCAACATCTAGAAAGAAGAGTAAAGACTATGGTAGAACAACTGTCCTGTTGATAGAACGGGAAGACTGGAAGAAAGAACATGAAGGAACAGAAAGCTTCCTCTCCCATCCTAATGGGAGAAAGTGTCTTTTCCAGCACAGAGTAGAGAAGAAAGCAGAGCATGCATGTGCTCTGCAGTATGTAGGTTTAGGTTCAAATTCTGGGTCAGCTACTTGTTAGTCGAGTAATTTCTGGCAAGGTATCTAACTTCTCTGAGCCTCCATTTCCACATCTGTGAAATGGGTATAACGGTAGTAGTTGTGGTACAGGTTCAAGATTCTTCATCCACAATTCTGAAACCTCAAAAGCTCAAAAAGTTCCAAGCTTTTTGTAAGTTTGATGCCAATGCTTTTGGTGACAAACCTTGACTTGGACTTGTATGAGGCTAATGTTTATGGTCTTTAACTCACTTGGTGTGAATGTATATTCATTTTGCTACAGAAATATTAATGTGTTTGAATATAGGGTCTTCCCCAGAGCCCACTGGAAGTGATACATAATATACTTTATGTGCATTGTATTACCTTGTCAAAATTCAAAATATTTTGAAACACAGCTGGACCCAAGAGTTTCTTATCAGGAGATGGCAGAGCTGCAGGAGTAGATTGCCTTGTTTTTGTTATTATAGTTATTGTTAGAACGCAGCCTTTCCAGCCATAACCAGCTGATTAAAGGAAATGAGACTCTTTGGCCTGAGAACAGAATGTTCATGGAGACATGGTTGTTTTTTCACAAGCTTGAAAGACTGACATGTGGTAAAGGGATTATTTATTTAGTCGGCTTCAAGGTCCAAATTTAACTGGGATGGATGGATGAAAAGTTCAGGGAGAGGAATTAAGTCAGTAGAAGGAAGCAACGCTTAAGGGTAATGTGCAAAACTGGTAGGGGCACCTTCCCAACGTGGTGAGATCAGTGTCTTTGAAGCTGTTCAAAGACGAGACGACCAGCTGGCGGGATGGTGTGGAGGATGTTTGAGTATTAAAGAGCGGGTGGAAGTGAGGAGGTGGATTGAAAGGCCTTCAAACATATAAGATGATATAATTGTGAAACTGCACCCTAATCGCGCACCCGAATGAGCCCACAGGGGACCCTCGGGGGCTGGTCCTGAGAGGTCGGGCTGTGACCTCCTCGTGTCCTCCAGGTGTCCGTCTGCCAGGAGATGGTGAGCGAGCTGCGCAGCATCATCCTGTGTCAGGACAGCGTCCACCCGCGCCGGCGGCGCGCCGGGCTACCGCCGCCGCAGCCTCCCATCCCCGAGGAGCAGCGCCGGCCCCGGGGCACCGTGACCCTCAGCAACGGCAAGCTGTGCGGGGCCGGGGAGCCTGACCAGCTGGCGCAGAGACTGGCCCAGGAGGCCGCCCTGGTGGCCCGCGGCTGCACGCACATACGCGTGTGCCCCGAGTGCCGCCGCTTCCAGGGCCTGCGGACGCGGCCGTCGCCGGCGCGCAGCGAGGAAAGCCTGGAGTGGGAGAAGACCACCAACAGCAGCGAGCCCGAGTAGCCCCGCCGCCAAGGATGCTCGGCTCCCCGGCCCGCTGCGGAGGCGGGATGCGCTGAGCCCGCCATGCTGCCGGTGGGGCCCCCGGACTTGTACAGCGTCCACCCTTCTCTCCAGATCTTGGATCCAGTAACTTTACAAAACGATCAAAGAGCCTGACGCCCCAGCCGGAGACGGCGACCTGGTCCGGGGAGCTGGGCCCACCCAGAGACGTTGAGCCCGAGTGGCAGGGGACGCTCTCCCACCTGGCCACAAGCCCCCTCTTCCCGCAGCGGGCCTTTCCCTCCCCACAAAACTAAAGAGTCGGGGTGGGAGGGGCCCCTGCCCAGACCGTCTGATGAATTGGTGGCATCATCAGAGGAATATCCCCCTAGGAAGGGGCCATTGTACCCTGGGTCTAGTTCTTACAGGAAAAAAAAAAAAAAAAAAAAAATTAAACTCAACAGGGAAGTTTTTCTTTTCTGGATTTGTATATTTTTGTTAATGTTCTTTTCTTTTGTTTTCTCTGTTTCTCTCCTTCCCTCCTTTTCTTCTTTGTTGTCTCAATTCTATTCCTTTGTTTCGTTTTCTTGGAGGGGGAGGCTGGGTTAGGGAATTGAAGTCACAATAATCCCTGTTACCATTTTCCTAAATTTTAGGATATGAGGCAGCCAGTGCATCAGACTCCAGGCGCTGAACTCTCCTTTCTGTGTGGTGACCGGGGCCACAGGGCATGTAGGAGAAGGTGAATTAGGTGGAGAAATGTCCAGTAATTTTTTAAATGCCAAAACCCAATTAACTCATAGTTTACTGAGAGACCTTGAAATGCCTGGGATTTCAGAGGTTAATTTGTCCTTTCTTTCTCTCTCTTTTCGACTTTCACTATGATCGGGTTTGATTTGGTCTTTGGTGAATGTGATCTCTGAGGAAGAGAGATAGCCGAGGAGAATAGAAGGCACACAGTATCCCAGGCCCTTGTTTAAGGAGCAGAGGGCAGAGAGCAGAGAGCAAATTTCCCCAACAGTGGCCTTGGCTTCGGCAGGAACGTGCTGTCTTCAGGTGGGGAAGGATGGGGCCGCCCTGCTGGTCTGGTGCATACTTTGTCAACTGCACCTCTTTTTAATCAAACTCAGTAGCTGCCTATGAAGCCAGATCCCCAAGGCTATCATGGATTGGGTGATTTCTTGCTACAAGATGTGAGACCTCGGTGCAATTGTGTGTGTGTGTGTGTGTGTGTGTGTGTGTGTGTGTGTGTTTATTATATGGGAAGATCTTAAGTAATCAAGAATTTGCCAGGTTCCTGGGAGAGAGGTAGGGTCTTGTAGTCAGTACACAGGCCTGGGAACTAGGGACTCTTGAGTCCTCACCTAAGCATGGGCAGTAGTCCACCTTGTATGACTTTACATGAAGCATCTCACTTCTCTTTCCTCTACACAATCGGAGTTACTGATGCTTTCCAGGCTGTCAGATGCCTGCTAAGTACTTCTCTACACTTGTGAGATGTTTGCAGTGTCCGGAGCACTCATCGGGAGAGGTGAAGCTTCTCAGCAGCTGCTTGACCTTTGCTTGGCTTCGCCAGTTGGGAGTTTCACACAGAGAGTTTTCATTTTCTGATTGAAAACAAATTCTATGCAATTTCTGTTTGTCAACTTAGAAAATTCAGAGGAGAGAGAACTAAACAGCCACTACAGCCATCTCCCCCACTGTCACCACCTTGAATCAAATTGTCCTCACAATGTTTCTGTTCTGAACATACTAAAATAAAGACACCTTTGCAAGACAACGAGCTTAATTCCATGTTTTTGCCGTCGACATTAGGTCGACATCTTCTTTGTGCCAGGACTATTAGTTAGAACTGCCATCCTGGGGGTACCCCGATGGTTCCTATAAAGGAGGCCAGTTTTGTCCTAGGCTGACCTCTTCTGTCTTATGAATTTGAATCTTTTTACTTTTCCCTCTTAAACCATCAAATGTCGGCAAGCTCTGCAGGACATGAGTCTTTTTTTAGACCTTGCTTAGAGCCTCCTGGAGAAACGTGGATTTGGTGAGAAGGGCACCTGAAGGCGGGTGGAACGCAGACTGCAATGGTGCCATGCTGCCCCAACCCACAGCTCCATTCAGTGCTTCTGACAATGTGGTCCCTACTGTCAGATCGCATGTGGGGCAGGAAGCATTGTTCTTTTTTTGTTTTTTTTTTTTGTGGTACACGGGCCTCTCACTGTTGTGGCCTCTCCCATTGCGGAGCACAGGCTCCGGACGCGCAGGCTCAGCGGCCATGGCTCACTGGCCCAGCCGCTCCGCGGCGTGTGGGATCTTCCCGGACCGGGGCATGAACCCGTGTCCCCTGCATCGGCAGGCGGACTCTCAACCACTGCGCCACCAGGGAAGCCCAGGGTTGTTTTTTTTAAAAAAATAAATAAAAACAAAAAAACCTCATTTTTATGAGCAGGATATCTTGATCAATAGCAAGCTTTTGTAAAATGGATTGGTGAAATAAATGTCCCCATGAATCATTTATAAAGTCTGTTTCTTTCACGGAATAAAGATAAGACTGACAGCACCAGGCAGTTTCTATTAGCTGCTGGGACCATTGCTGCACCTCACTCAAGCTGGTGAGTGAATCTGCAGCCAGCTAGTTCTCTTCCTTGGTTTGTCTCCACTTTTTATCTGTTGGTTGTCGGCTTTCTTTTCCATTCTGTATTTTCTATCTGATTCTGTATACTGTATAAAGCCGTTTTTTCTTGTCTGTTTATCTTTCTTCGACTGCAATATTTACAATAAAACAGAAACAAACCCTGAAATGTTAGTGATGGGTGAAAGCTGTTTGGGGTTGGAAAGAATGGTTTGGTGTGTCTAAAATCCAGGTACTCTGAAAGCAAATAAAAGTAGAAACCCACATTTTGTCTTCCCCTCCACCTGCCCTTCTCTCGCTCCCTCTCCATTCCCTATCCTCTTCCGCTCTTTGTTCAGACCCCAGAAAAATCTAGGTGGCTTCTTTCAATTTGTAGTCCTGGAGGCAGAGCCAATCCCCCGCCCCTCCCCAAACGGATACACATGTTAATGAAGTTCAGGATTCATAGGGTTTTGTCTTCCTAAATGCACTTTCACAGAATAGTCATCTATTGATACCTAGGGTAACTCTAGTCAGATATCACCCCAGATTCCACTGGGAGCTTGAAGATTACATCAATTAAAATATAATACTTCGCTTTATTTCTTTTAATTGCCTTGCAGGGCCCCAATCGTCACCAGATCTCCACCTCAGAACCCAGGTGGGGTGTAAGTTGAGCATGTAGATGGCCGAAAATCTTTTGGCTTCCTCTAATCCAAAGCTTATATGAGAATATTCATCCTGGGAACTTGCCAACCAGCCCTCTTATTGGTTAGGTGAGACCAAAATATCATGATAACCAATCCACCTGGGGCCACTCTGTGAAAGTTTATTAGTTTGGAATTCCAAGGAGTTTAATTTTCTTTTGGAATCCAAGGGGGACTTCCCTATGGTGTAGGAGTCAAATACACGAGGCCAGAAAGGGCCGGGGCATTTCAGACACGGCAGGTTGGTGGTTTGAGTGGAGCTTGAGAGAACCATTTGTAGCCCTCCCGCCAAGGGGGTGTGTGCAGCAGTAAAGCAGTCTGGACACGATAAGGGAGATTTGATTCCCTGACTGGTAGGCAGCTCTCTTGGGGTAATAACAAAGAGACCTGTTGGGAAAATTCAGAGAAGGAATCCTTTCATAAAGATTTCACTTAAAGCTAGTGCTTCCTATGGGGCCTCTCAAAGAGAAAAGTAAGCTTTTAGTTGCCTTGAGTTATTCCAGTGCCTTTCTGTGAAAGGTGGCTCCCTGCCCCCCACAGGCAAATCCCTCACCATTAGCCCAACGGAGTGTCCTCAGTGGCTGACAACCTTGGAAACCTACAGTATGACTCAAAGACTGGTGACGATGTGACTTCAGAAAACTCTTCTCACAGAAAAAATATAGACTCACGCTATCTATCATCTATCTATCTACCTACCTACCTATCTATCATCTCTCACAACTGGTGAGGCTTGCAAAGAAAAAGGTCACCAAGTTTTAGAACTGAAGAGGTCAACAACCCCATTATAATTTAAGGGCAACTGGGCAAGAGAAGTTCTGTCACTATTAACAGAACGTTATCATTCAAATTTTGTTAATTTCATACCAATTTCAAAATCTGAAGAATGAATGAAAAAAATATGAATATTGCCATTAAACAAATGGTAGAAATAGCACTGAGATCAAGAAAGAAGAAAGTATACAAAGGGAATAAAGTGAGAAACAACCTCTCTGATCAGAAAAGGCAGAAAATTTGAGGGCCGAAGAAGGGGCGTAAGGAAATTGAGTATACAATCTCCCCATACATTAAGTAAGAGTATGCATCTAAATATTTCACTGGTCGGACTGAACAAAGCATGTCAGAGAACCAGTGCGTTGTGACTGTGTCGTGTCTGGGGAATTGACCCTGTTTACAAAGGTTAGAATATGCAGAGTCTATATTATAGAGGATGGAGGTCAGACCCATAAGTGCAATGATCCTCCTGCTGGAAAATCAGCTAAAGAATCCTGCCCACTCCTCAGTAACCCTTGCGCGCAATCCAATGTGCTCTCTTGACTATGGCAGAGAAGTCAGAGGGGACCGGGGACCAAGGGACCTCTCACCCTGTGGGGACTTTTTCATACACTGGTGAGCGACCTTGAGAGGTGCTTCTTTAGTACATGGCCCCACATTAGATTCTGTGGGATATAACAAAGATAGTGGAAGAAACTATCTGTCCTCTGTCTGGGAAGACAAAACTTACTTGTAAGAAACAATGAAAGTAAAGCACAAAATATCCAAGTGCTGGAGTGTGTGATTTGGAAAACAAACCATAGAGACATTCAGAGAGGCTAAAGATTCCCAGTAGCTGAGATTGGCTTAGGGGAAGCAGCAGGACTGTTTGTGTCTTGGGTTTGTTAAAAGAAAGTTTTTTTGACGTCTAGAAAAATAAGATTTCCCTTCAT